ATTTGATTTCTATTTATTATGATTAGCTTGAAACAAGGCTATAAGAGAAATCGCCCTCGTCAGAGTGAATCACAACATCTACAGATCCTCCAGTGAAATGCTGGAGAGATGTCACAGGACAAAAAGATCCAAGTACAGAAAATCCTAAAAACCTATGATGTAGACATTTTCACAATTATTAAAGCAAACCTGAAGTACTACCAATTCCCAGGTTACACCCTCTACCTTCTACCTAAATGCCGGCAAGTTGCAAGTGGAATTCTAACCGGAGTAAAAGAAGGCCTCACATCACACTACGATCTAATCAAGAGTATAGGCTCGACGCAGGACATATGCGAAATAATCAGATTAAATGTTTGGAAATGTCAAAACCATTTCAAGATATATCAAGTCTATAATCCACCCAAAGAATAGTCCCAACTTTGACTTTCTGAACATCTCACACAAAACTGTAGTATTAGGAGACTTCAACACCCATTCCGCCAGATGGGGCTACAAGGACACAAACAGACCTGGAAAGGAAATCGAAGACATGCTAAATAGCAACCCTCTGGAACTTATTTACAACAATGAGGATCCTGCAAAATATTCGCAATTCAATGGACCCAAAACAACTCCTCACTTGCTCCTGGCTTCAAGCGACAACAGCGAGCATACACGCAATAACCAGATAAAAGTAATGAAAAAAGGAATATGGTGAAAATTATGGCAATTTTATATCAAAAGTATTTACAGAAAACACAAACGTTCCTATTTGATAGTCGACTAAAAGAGAGGAATCAGTTAATATATACGTTCATACCCGAAATTGCTCTTCGATGCTGGATATTTCACTAACCAAATCTCTGATAGCAGAGGAGAAAACTTCAGCTGGAGTAACTGCGGATGTCGTTTGGACGCGAATTACAACACGATGCTCTAAAGGATGAGGAATTTTATAACCGGCAAAAAGAACACGAGGATCCTTTAAAAGCTGTCTAAAGTGAAAAAAATGCAAGTAAAAATTATCAATAACACAGACATATTTTTATTCACAACTCACCGAGTAATCATGTTGCCCAATGTATGGTCTTCTCGGTTTAACGTGAAAACAGCCGCATTAGGAACATGAGTATCCTTCTCAATAAAAACTCTAAAAATCTAAACAGTAAATAACGAATCTACTTCTTTTCGCCTTCAACTAGAAGAAAGGATTCAAAAGAAGCTGGAGCATTCATCGCAGTCAGAAAAAATGCAAGGTGCACTAAAGATATATAAAAGCAGGTGTGGTCAAACAGCGCACACTTTCAGCCCATATTTTAACAAAGTAATAGATTAATAAGTTTTTTGACAAACTAAATTTATTGAACATTAAATTTTAATTTCTTTTTTTAAAACTCATTCTCTTAGTCAAACACATTTATGAACATTGATGATGCATACACATTTTCAAATTTATATAAATTTATTTAAAAAAAGTTAAAATTTGTTTATGTTTTGTATGCGATATAGTCAAAAATCAAAATAAATCGCAAACTCAATAAATTCATCTGGCCTTTAATTTTTAATGTCGCCTGCTCGTGGACGCCTGCTAAATTATCCGCTTCTCCTATCTAAGTGTACGAAGGAGTCTAAATCTTACGCCAGTTGCATTGTTAAGGAGTCTGAAGTGAAACAGGGTGTGTGTGAAAAGGAATTTGCCAATTTAATTGCGTGTTTACGTAAGGCATCCGCTAAACTAGGATCTAAAATATGAACAAACTTCCTGATGCCCCCTCGAGCGTTAGTCTTTTCCCTGTTCCTCCGTGGGAGCTTATTGATAAGTACTCTGATTCTGCTGTTTCTCAAAGTACTGCTCCGCAACCACCGCCAATCCCCATTTCTACCACTTACCAAACTTTTGGTGTTCCCTTTAGTACCGATTACCTTATCTTAAAGCCACTCGAGTCCTTCGGATTTCGTCGAATTTACCAACAGGTTTTTTATTAATTTTTTATTTTGCTTTTTTAATATTTAATTATGTCTTTTTTCCATAGAATTGTAGTCGTAAATCTGAATTGAAAAAACTCAACTTCTCTATACTTGCCAATTATCTCGATCTACTTGATATTCTGACTCGCGATCCAAGTTCTGACAAGCGCAAAGAGAAACTTGATCATATTGGGCAGCTATTTATAAACATACACCATCTTTTGAATGAGTACCGACCACATCAAGCTCGAGATTTGTTACGGGAAATGCTTATATACCAAGTGGGTTGAAATTTGGCCTTCTTATCTCTTTAGGTTAAAATTGCTAGCGATACTGTGCATCTTTGCGAGCAGTACTTGGCTCGTACGAATGAAACACTTTGCGCTTCTTCCCAGTCAATTTCGTGTGATTTTCTTGCAAACACATGCCCTTCGTCCCCCTACTCTGTTTCCTTTGAGGATCTTGGTCCTGAGTTGAATGAGCTTCTCTCTGATGTCCAGAGAAACATGAAGACGGATGACCCGCTGTCACGTACTAATGTGAAAATTGATGAAACGTGCGACGAGCCAGCAGGGATCACAGAATCAGCTTCCCCTCTACGTACTCTCACCGATCATAAGGAGTCTTTACCTCTCGCTGCCTCTCATTTATGGGATTTATTTTAGAAATAATCTTATCTAAAATAAAGTCCATACACATTTTTTTGTTATAATTTTTATTATAGCTTCAAACATGCACTTTTTGTAATCGAAGGAAATTACTAGAGTATTTTCTATGCTTAATTTTATTACTAAGTTGGTACATTATCTCATTATCTTGAAGGATTGTAGGTTACCTTTCTGTGTCTAAGATATTACGAACTTTTCAAAGGTGCAGCCCATTTCGGAATTCAATACTAATTGTAATAATGTAAGTAGACAGGTCGCTACTTTATGTATTTGTGAATTCTTATCTAATGGTATCAATCTCATTTCCGAATTTCTCCTCCGTTATTTTTCTTCGTCAATATAAAGATTGTTATTTCAGTTATCGTCCTCCAGGAAATAGTGAGAAACTGGATTTCAAACTAATCTCCTTTACTCCATGAATATCATCTCTTTGAAGTTTTACCTACTTTGGAGATAAAATGAATGCAAGTGAATCGGTGTGTATCATGATACTTGAATTAAGATAGTAAAACAGTGAGTCTACTCTGCCAAGGTACTACTATATGCTCCATTGGATTAAAAATATTCAGACAAGATATTACCCAGTTTTATAATCATGCGGGCATATTATAATGAAAAAAAATATATATATAATATACAGGGGATTGGTTTCCTCCTCGGTGTTCATTTTGATTTCAAGTTGCGCAATAATTCCTAAATTAATATATGACGGTAAAATTATCCATTACTCTATGCATATCTTCCGGAAAGTGATCGAGATTGCTTAGTGCACATTTCTGGCAATATCTCTTTCCGTAGAAGAAGGAGCATTCCTAAGACATACGATTTAAAAGATCAAATCATACAGGAGATATACAAACACTATCGTTGCACACGCAACAGTCAGCTCCAATGATTATTGCTCCGGCTCCACCATCCACGAAAGGATCTCGCATGACATATGCCTCTTCAAGTAGGCTGGAAAAGTTGCTGATAACAATTATCGAATTATACCTAATATCTTGATTGAGAAATCGTGGATGCGTGCTCTTATCATCGAACTTTATGCTAAATTGGCAGACTTTACACTTAAAAGTGCCCTCTTTAGGCGGGGTACTCTTCCTCATAGCCTCCTATTCTAATGATAAAAATGACGCACCATTCAAACGAAAATGACCTTTGCAGATAGCAGGTTATTACGCAAATGCGACTAAAGTTTTGTTTAAAAATTATAAGTTCTTTTGTCCATTAAAAAAGTTAAACGTTAAATTTTTTGAGAAGTTATAGTTTGCTTATTCCTGTTAAGAAATATGGCATAAAATTGAGAAATATGATCATTCTAGAAAACATGTTTTCCTGCGAATTCAAAGGCTTCGAATGAAGATTTTAATATTCCGTCAGTAAAAAATACAATGGTAAGCTACACAGTTTTCAAAATAATACATAAAATTTATTTATATCAAATGACAGGCGTTTTTGGTAGCTATCATTAGCCCTTTAGTTGACTCCAGGCTTCACAGAGGAGAAGGAACATCAAAGTGTAAATAAGTTGAGAAGGGGAGAATAGAAGACGGTTTTTAAAGATGCAAAAGACAGACGCAAATGTAGGAAGAAGGTGAGATGTGTACTGTGGAAGTAGCATGACAAACAGCGTGGTCGTGGTAGTTTGAAATCAGAAGTCCGCTGCCGGTTAATAGGCATTTTCGCCGTATGATTATACGTTGTCCAGGGTATTCCACGTGGAGGTAAGTCTATCGTACACCCCATACAATATAAAACAAACTTAAAATGAGCTTCAACGGCCGTCGTTGTCTGGATTTAATGAAATAGGCGCTGCTAATAAAGCAACAAACTCGATATTAAACACATGAATTGAACAAATAGTTTTATGTAAACTTGCCAATGGTAGAATAGTAGCTATCAGAAATTTAGTTCAGGCTATCGTAAGGTCATTATTGCTTATATATAAATAAACGGATAAATGACTGTAAATTCAGAATTCACATATAATTAAACTGCCCACTTAAAAAAGCAATTTTAATATAGCATAGATAATTTCGTCAAAAATATCGGTCTTATTCCACTGCTAAAAATAACATAAATCTTCGAAAATTTTGCTAAATTATCTGAGCCATTTTTCTCGAATAAATAAATTCATGGATGATCAATTTAATGCATTATGCAATGGTGATTATAAGTTTGATTTCAAACGAAAAATGTCATTCTATAGGTATTTATGATAGAGTTTCACGAATCGAATTTATTACGTTTCCAAATATGTCTCCTTAATCTCCCGCAAGGTAAAGTGAAGTTGATATTCGCAAAAACCAATCAAATAGAAATACTTGATCTAAACTATTTATACCAATCTCAAGTTACCGATAAAAATATATATATATTTATATATTTAATGCAGCCTATTCTCTATCTTGTTTCATTATCCTTTGGTATGAGTATTTATTTATAGCAGATGGCAGGCAATATAATATCTTCCATTAGCCCTTTAGTTGACTTCGGGCTTCACAGAGGGAAAGATCATCGATGTCACAATAGTCGAGGGAATGGGGATTCGAGAACTAAAGGGTGATTACATATGTGAGAGAGACAGACACAAAGGTAGAGAAAATGGTAAAGTGAGTACTGTGGTGTTGACGAATATGGCATGCAGTGAGGTCATGGTAGTTTGAAGTGAGAAGTTAACTAGCGGCTTATAGACTTTTTTGCCGTGTGAATATACGTTGCCCAGGGTTCACCAAATGGAAGTAAGTCAACACCGTACTCTTTGTTAAGAATATAGACTTTTAAAAAGGAAGGTATTTGAAGCAGTAGAATGCTGAAGTAAAATTTGTTTGTTAAAATTTGTCGATCGAAGTAGACGGTTTTACTTTGACAATTGATTAATATGATATTTCACGTATACCCAAAATGTATGCGTAAATAATCTATATCATCAGTTGGCGTTAATTGAAAATTAACTCTATCTCTTCATTTATATGTATTGATGCTATTTATTAAAAAATTATTAATAAACGAGAATTACTCGGTGAATTAATTAAACAGCTAACCGTCTAAGGTGAAATAAAGTGAGAACTTAATTCTTACTAAAACTTATATTAAATACAAGTAAATTTTTTCAACCGAAAATGAAAGCTACATGAAAATATTATACGAAAATAGATAACAAGAAACTAATCAAAATTACTGCAAATCGATTAAAAGCAACGTGGTTGACCTATTTCGATAAATATTTATGCAAGTATTACGTTGTTTACAAAATGTAATGAAGTGGTTTACTAACGACATACGATAAATTTTATGGAATGGAATTAAAGGCAGAATCTTGGTTGGAGGCCTAATTTTTCCAATAGTGTTAAGCTGTGGTTTTCGGATTTGTTAGCAGTATACTTGTTTCAGATATCTTAATGATTTATTTTAGCCATTAACATAAGAACACTTAATCAAAACGTCATGATTTTTTGCAAGAAAAACTCTCTACACAATAAATTTCAGAATTGAAAATTTTCACATAGTATTGTAAAATTATAGTTTTTTAATTTCATGATTATTTAATTACATTATTGTTGATAGAATATCTTCAAGGTTGTAAATTAGTTCACCCCGCGAATTCGCCCACCCTTTTGTTCAATATTCGTCCTCGTGTTATGCGACATGGGCTCGACAAATCATTTTATTGGCATGTTTCTTTTCTTTAGAATAATTTCGTTTTAAATAGCCGCTGAGGATTCACTTCCTCTTTTAAATGATGAAAATGATAATAATTTCACAGAACCTGATCCATCCAAGCGATTAAATGGCACGGTCCGTTTTCGTTCACGGCTCAGTGTCGACGAAGAGGCTCCTAGTGTAGGAATATTATTTATATAAACGCGGTTAATAGGTTTGGCGTTCATTTAACTGTCGCACTTTATGGGCATTTACTGGCCCTGGTTTCCTTATGAGCATCGCCTACTTAGATCCAGGAAATATTGAGTCAGATTTACAAAGCGGTGCCGTTGCCAACTATCGAGTACGCTCTTTCTTGTATTTTTTATCTTTATTTGTTAGCTCTTGTGGCTTCTTTTTCTGTCAACACTTATGGGTCTTTTCATGCAACGATTAGCAGCTCGAATTGGCGTTGTTACCGGTAAACATCTCGCAGAAATTTGCTATGAGGAGTATCCAAAGCCCGTTCGCCTTATTCTCTGGGTTATGGTTGAAATCGCAATTATAGGTTCGGATATGCAAGTATGTTGCCCTCGTATTTTCTTAAACTGCTTTTTAGGAAGTCATTGGAACTTCAATTGCCATTAACCTTCTGAGCATGGGAAAAATTCCCCTCTGGGGTGGTGTTTTAATCACCATTCTTGATACTCTCTCCTTTCTTCTCATTGATAACTACGGTCTCAGGAAATTAGAATTGTTTTTTGGATTTCTGATATCTGTTATGGCTTTCACATTCGGCTATGAGGTACTTCCTGTTCCATAACCTTATGGTGTCTAGTACATTATTGTCGCTCCGAATCAAGCCCAGGTGCTCCGAGGCTTCATTGTGCCTTCCTGTCCCAACTGTGGATGGGCAGAGCTGGAACAAGCGGTGGGAATAATTGGAGCTATAATTATGCCCCACAATTTCTACCTCCATTCCGCTCTTGTAAAATCCCGTGATGTTAATCGCAAGGATAATCGAGCGGTAAGAGTGATCTCAATGACAACGACTTAACCTTTTTTCACAGAATTTAAAGTATAATGCTTATCGAGGTTGATATACAGCTATTACTGACTTAGCTTTTCGTTTTCTCTATGTTAAAACCAGGTGAATATTGAATAATAATTTGCACATAGACGTACAATTGAAGCTTGTATACAGTCATAGGATTTTGGACATGTTCAAATTTTGTAGTTAGTCTCTAAACTATTTATTAGGTTGTTTTCACTGATTTTACTATTTTCAATAGTATTCAACAGTGTTCTAACGTTTCCTGCTTGTGGGAAATTAAGATTCCCGTTTTATTCCAAATTCTTGTTAATAATTGCGGTTAAAAATGACATTAATTTCGACCAAAGACCACAAAGTTAACCAAGAAACCAAAATCATATAAAGTAGTTTATGTCTTTCATTTTTAATTGAGTAACCTTGTTTAGCAATCATATTTACAGGGTAATCAAATAGGAATTCATCCGTGGATTTGTAAATCTGTTACATTGTTACTGTTGCAGTTCATGGGTTCTAAATCTATGCCAAATATTGTCCCTTCCAAAGATTTCATTGGGAACGAATTCATTAGTTAACCATTGTTAGTTTTCCAAATTGTACTTTCTATTAGATTTGGTTGCTTTTTTTCTTGTTTTAAAGGAATTCTAATGGCTTTTTGCTATTTTGATGATTTTTTAACAAAAATGCTATTCAAGTGCATAATGTTAACTGCATAAATCCTTTATAAACGTTTACCGAATCCCCATTTAGGAGACCTTAACTTTGCAATTCTTAATTGACATTGGGCTACTAAAAGGCTCCCAAATCGCCAAGTGTTCACCCTGTTCTTTTGCTTTATTACGGGCCTAATTTCTTTACAGTGTCGTCGAATGGCGAGAATTTGATCGCCAATCCTTTTGTAGTAACTTTTTCTCTTAAGCTATTAATTTGAATCATTCACTCCTCCAAATAGACGGTTTTTAAATTAATCAGGTTCATTCAGGTTTTTCCATAGTTAAAGTTCAAAATTTACTTGCTGTACAGACCTATAATTATCTGATCGGTAATTTCTCCGATTTCCTTCTCATTATTTACTCTAATTTAAAGTCTGCGATAATCTTGTGATTTCTCTCAATTGATTATTCTCACATGAGGTCTTCAAATTATTGTTTGAGTGGAGAAATGTATACTTAATGTGGGCCATAATTTCGACTCGTTGAATTCCTGTCGCATATTTGTATAATTTGTGCCGTTAGACACTAACAATAGTTGATCGTTTGAATGGAGTTTACTGAAGTGAAGTGTTATCTTCGTAAACTTATTTTCTTTAATGTATCATTTCATTTTCGTGGTGGACCTAATATTTTTTCCTTGCCAACAATTTTTTTGTCCGTGACATCGGTGGCTCTAACCACGGCACAATGCCAGTCGGAGCCATCTCAATAAAGTTAACATCAAACTGGCTTGAACCTCTTCTGAAAAATAGCTTTTGTTTTAGATTCTCTTAGTTTTTGCTCAACTTTGGTCTGGTCTTATTTTCAAACACGCTATTACTGTTTCCTATTACTTAAATCTCCTAATAAAGAGCTTTTAAAAGTGCATTATCTAATTATGCTAATGCACTGAATGTTCTTGATAGATTTTAAATAAAATTGATAGTCATTAGGTCACACCCAGTAAACAGTGCGACAATTCATATTGACTAGCTAGTTAATAGAGGATTAATGGAATTTCGTTTCATTTTTGAACACGTTTGTAATTTTATTAATTGTTGTTATTATTTCGATCCACAGCGAGTCACCAATGTTGTTCTTTGTTAAATCGCAGTATTCACTTTCTGATAGTCTTTTTTCATTGTTCAACACGTGGGTTACTGTACTTTGTCCACAAGACGTAGGGCTTACTAAGTTATGAAAAACTTGAATTCAATTTCTGACTTAATCAGTGGGACTGATTGATAAAGCAGAATGATCTCTATTGTGACAATAGTTATCTTTATTCTTCTTCCATATATCAGATTGCAGTAGCAAACTTCTACTTCTTCCTTGAAGCCTGCATTGCCCTCGGAGTTTCCCTGGTGATTAATATCTTCGTTGTGGCGGTATTCAGTGAAGGCTTCTACGGAAAAAGTGTTGCCGAAGTTGTGAGTTGAATACTGCTGCATCTATTTTTTTTCATTCTTGACATTTTGTCTGACAAACTCTGTTTCACATATTTTAGATTAGCAATTGCTCTGCAAGCCAAACTATTCCAGAGTCTTTTCTAGATACCGCACGAAAGTTTGATCCAACTCAGGTCGATCTCTACATTGGTGTAGGTTTATATTAATCTGTTTAATCTCAGTTTATATAGTGCTTCCATATTTTTTGCCATGCAATATGTTATAAGTTTTATAAAACTAAGTCATGCTAATGTAATCATTGGGGTTTTTGGATAGTATCAATAAAATTTTGTACCCTGAGGGTGGTAACAATGAGAAAGTAATATATGATTGAATAGCTTAATCATAGGGCCATTTTGATTGGCTGGTAATATCACTATTTATGCTAAATAGGTTATTTATGCACAGATTGGAACGAGTAAAGGACCTATTACTGGTATTAGCGTATTCAAAGAAAATAGTAAAATGTTAAATACTCCTCAATATTATAAATGTTCTTGATTGACTAAATCTACTAAGTGTGTGGATCGGTTCTTAAAGCTTCTTGATTTCTTATTGATATTTGGAAAAATCGCCTGAGTCAAATGGCTAAAATATCAATAATTGTCAGCATCGCATCTGAATTGGGAAGGGACTGGTAGATCTTAATCTCCAATTCTAGATTTTATCCATATCTGGGTGTTGCCTATATTTTGTGTTGAATTTTGAAATGGCCTGGTTTCACATTGATGCTCCTATCGAAGAATTTCTTTGATTTAAGAAAAAAATATATTAGAATTATTTACAAGTGCTGTAATCTTTGTATAGGGTGTATTCTTGGGCTGTGAATTTGGTATTGTTGCACTCTATGTCTGGGCAGTCGGTCTCTTGGCAGCCGGACAGTCTTCAACAATGACTGGAACCTATGCGGGCCAATACGCTATGGAGGGATTTCTGAATCTGAGGTGGAAACAGTGGCAAAGACTTCTTGTTACTCGATCCATTGCCATTCTCCCAACTCTCATAGTAACATTTTTTGAAGGTTCGTTTAGGCCACCTTAATAAATGCTTTAAATTTATCCAAATTCTTTAGTTTATTTCAGCCTTTGACTTTATGACAGCCTCATTTCCCACTTGGTGAAGTGAGTATACTCCTGCGATTAATTGATAAGACATTAAATTTAATAAAATTTCGAGTACTTGCCGTTAGTATGATACCGTACTTCGTCTAGATTAATTTTCAAGTGTTTCTGCTTCCTATCGGTTATAAGGTTTAATAGGGGGCCTCATTGGGTATGAGATTTCCTTGCGAACTTAATATTTAAGCACTATTAATTTTGCGGCCTACCACTTGAAGAAACTTGCGATGTAGGTGCTGAACGTGCTTTTGTGCCACGATTGAGTCGAAATAAACTCAATACGTATTTGCGTATTTGTGGAACACTTTCAACACACCGTATCAAATGATCACAAATTGCCATCGAAATCGATTCACTTGATTCATTTCACTCAAGTGGATACTTTGCCAGGGTCCATTTGTCCATCTATTAATGGTTTCCAATATGTGCTACTATACTATATGGGGCTTGGTGATCTGACCATTAGGAACTGTTTTCCCATCTTGATCCACGCTCTGTACTCTTATTAATCAGCGTGATGGTATGCGGACTTCCGTATTGATCCTGGTCTACTTCCAGGTTTTTAGTATCGACTTGCTTGGTGGCTTACAATATATTTATTTATATCAAATGGCAGGCGTCTTGATGGTTATCATTAGCCCTTTAGTTGACTTCAGACTTCACAGAGGGGAAGGAACATCAAAGTGAAAAAAGACGAGAGGCGGGGATAGAAGAGTGATTCACAAATGTAAAAGAAACAAACACAAAGGTAGAAAAAAGGTGAGGTGAGTACTGTGGAAATAGTCGAATATGGCATAGAGTGGGGTGATGGTAATTTGAAGTGAGAAGTCAACTGCCAGTTAAGAGACTTTTTGCCGTATGAATATACGTTGCCCAGGGTGCACCACGTGGAGGTAAGTCTATCTCACACCCCGACTTACAGTATATAGAATTCACCATACATTTCTGTGGTGAATTTAAATCAATAAGTCTTTATCCGTTTGAACATGCACGCGTTTCTTATGGCAAGTAAGTTATGTGCAGATAATTAACGAAAACAGAGTAACCGCAGTGAAGGCTTGGAGTGAAGTTGTTCGAGTAGAATACTTTCTCTGGTCAGTCTAAATTTGACACCCTACAGTGAATTAGCCTGGCTACAATTCACTCACTTATCTTTGACCTAACCAGAGAGTCGTTCGGAATTCCTACCTGTACTTCAGACTGGAAATACAAAAAATAAGTGGAAGTTGGATGACTTAATTCTCGAACTAATATGATCTTTTATAACTTAACTTATAAGTCACTCTTATCTCTTTCGAATCTTTTCATCGTCAAATCTTTTTTCTCCCTACTGTAGCAAAATAACTTGTCTATCATGTAAATAATCTTGTTGCATCAATGAAATGCTCATTATCTTTTAATTTATGAGCACTTCGAAGTGTGAAAGTGTTTAATTTTATTACTTCATCTTCCACGTATTATGTGGGAACGGAGCCCTTCTCCTTTTTGCCCCTGGTAAACTGTTTTTTAATTTGTCAATTCTAGGTATTGAGAATCTCACAGAAATGAATGATCTTCTGAACGTTCTGATGAGCGTTCAGCTGCCTTTCGCTGTGATTCCACTTCTTACCTTTACCAACTCCAGAGCGATTATGGGACCATTCGTCAACTCTACGTAAGTCATCACTTTAAGTTATCTGTTAGATCTGCATTCTTTTTATGCTCTAACTTTTTTTTGAAATGAAATCTTGTATTATCTACTTCAACTGCCAATTTCAAGTTCAATTCTAAAATGATTTTATCATCTGCTATCTACCCCCCAGACGTTAGTTACCTCAGTCTGAAAGAGAATAGGTATAGATCTAATTTATTGACTGGAAAGGTTTCTCAAAATAGCTAATCTTTAAAGATCAATCAGTGGTGCGCGAATTAATTATGATTTTGTCTGGTTATTTTATAGCTGCATCCGAATCGGATCTGTCACTTGTCTACCAACTTCACTACCCCAAGTCTCAATAAGTCCATAGATTTAGAATTTGGAAAGACTTGGCTTCTATTATTGCTGTTCTAACTCACGTAGAAATTTTGTCCACTAATTCTAGGCAATCCGCGTGTGATTCCTATTTCATTGGCTACTCGCCCACCCTGTTCCACTAGTTTCTGCACAAGAGAGAATTTAGTTTCCTTCATCAAATTGGCAGATCGGAGTTTCATGCCCGGTAACACAGTGCTTAAATAGATTATCCTCATTTGCTTCCAACTTTGCCAAAGTTGGTAAAGAAGGTTCCTGTTCCTACAACGCTTCTGGCGCCCAGCGTGCCCACCGAGAGCTTGCTAGAGACAAGATTTTCAGTGAGATTTGAAAATGTTGATCCGCGTGCAATTCCTGCTTCATTGGAAGCTCGTCCACCCTGTTCCACTAGTTTCTGAAAAAGAGAGATGCTTTCTTGATTTCTTGCTGTGTTGCATCTCTGTCCTTCCTCGTGGATTGTCTTCAAATTGCATTCTTGCCTCTTTGAAGGCCTTAATCCAATCGTAAATGATTACTCTACTTGGTGCAGAGTCCCCATAAACCTCTTGTAAAACTTCTATGATCTGAACAGGTTTCCAATTCAGTTTAATTACAAATTTTATGTTGACTCTGATCGCAAAATTTGCCATTTAAGGGTTTGCGAATCCAACCTGTCTTAATCCTAACCTTTCATAGAATGATCGGACTGTTGTATGTTTTTACGGAAACTCTAATGACATGTTTGAATAGTAAAAACTTGTTCTATTTGAAGTTATGGCATTTTTCTCATCTCTACATCTTTTCTTCATATTCGTACGATGTGCCGGCTACAGATTTGTGTTTATAATGGTATAATTTACTTAAATTCCAGAATGAGCCATAAAACGTAGTATGATTAGATGCACGTCCGTCTCTTCCTAATTTCCAATATGTTGCTTTTTGGGCTTCCATGTAGGTTGAGAGCAGTAGTCTATTTGAAGAAATTCAAATCAAATGGCAGGCGTTTTGATAATTATCATTAGCCCTTTAGTTGACTTCAGGCTTCTCGGAGGGGAAGGAACATCAAATTGAAAAAAGTCGAGAGGGGAGGGGGAACAGTAGAGTGTTTTAAAGATGTAAAAGAGACAGACACAAAGGTAGAAAAAAGGTGAAGTGAGTACTGGGAAAGTAGTCGAATATGACATACAGTCGGCCCATGATAGTTTAAAGTTATCAGTCAACTACTAGTTAATAGACTTTTTTACCGTATGAGTATACGTTACCCAGGGTGCACCACGTAGAGGTAAATCTAGTGCACTCCCCTTATTTAGATAAATAAGGCTATTTCGCACCTCTCCATTAACCCATAAATTTCATGCGTATACTGCTTTCAACTACCCCCTAAAGTAACCTGAATAGCACCGCGTATTTCTGATTGGTTTTAATTATCAAAAATACTCGCCGATAGGGTCCTTTTTGCTGAGCTATGTGCTGCGGTGTTGTAGTTCAGGCAAACTCTATCACTATTAAAAAATGGGTGTCCTTTTTGCTCTCTATAATTCTTTATCATTCATGTTTATTGATTATATTGCTAGAAATTAAACAGTTCATTACCACTGGCAAAAATTGATTAAATTTGTAATTTTGAAATCGTGTGAAATTCGTAGGCGCGTGAAAAAATCAAGCCTAACAACTGTTTTTTTGTGTTAAATGTTGATCATACTGAGTGGCATGAAGTGGTATAGGTAGTTTTATTGAAGTATTTGCACTTGATTTACCGAAAGAAGTAATTTTCGCAGTATTCTAAAGAGATAATATAGTTATTGCAATATCTCTGCATATGTCTATAAGTATTATTTTAATTGAACTAAGCATTGAGCAGCTAATTTCGGCCATTCAGTTCTCGTAATCTGTTGATAATTTGTCGGTGTTAATTGTTGTTTGACAAACATAGATTGTGCTCAAAGTACTATTTGTCATCATGTGTCGATTTAAAGGTATTATATTAAGCGTGATTAAAATGCTTTTTTTTAATTTCAAGTAATATCATTTAGAAAGTGAAAGTCTATAAGATTTGTGAAGTGGTTCCAGCTAACTGTATTTGCACTCGTGTGTTTCCAACTATGAATGCCTCTTCCCTACCTTATTGCTTCTAAGTAAAATTCATAATTGTCGGACGCCTTCCCGATCATCTCCATCAAAATTCATGAATCTCATCTTTGTTACTGAGTCACTGGAACCATAGGAAACGCTAGAGGTAGTGGTATTGAGTGGCGAGTACAAGGTGACCTATACTGCTTTAGAACATCAATGAATCCTGAATAAGCGTTAATACATAACTTGAGCGTAATGCGTCCAACCATAAGTAGTAGACATTACCTTACTGATGTCAGACCAATGAAGGCTGTTTCCTATTACATTTTCTCCTATTTCAGTGCCTCCAAAGTGATGTCTATTGCCATTTCTCTGGTTGTGATTGGGGTGAATTTCTTCTTTGTTGTGATATTCGTTCGATCACGACTAACGAGGCACCTCGCCGCCTATATCGTAGTGGGCATTCTCTTCTGTTTCTACTTCTCCTTCATCGCCTACTTGGTATGTCATCCACTGCCACTTAATTCCATAAGTAGGGCGCTCATGTAACCGCTGTTTTCGTTGCAGTCTTTCTTCGCAATTAAAAAGGATATTCAAAGTAAGAAACGAGTAAGTATTCTAAGGCTCATTCCCTTGCATTAAAATTGTGCACAAATCACTCATATTTTGTGATGGTGTAATGATTGAGAGTGATCTTCGGAATTATGTTGGATAGAGAAAACCTGCGCAGGAAGACATCCGGATGGAAGAGTGTCCAAGTGTCACCTCGGTCGATTCGAATCCTTTTGATGTAACTTACTGCCTTCCATCTCACTCTGCCCTCTAACGTCTTTCATTCCCCAACACCTAATTTCCCGCGTGTTTTAACATTATTATATTAGTGTTGGGATAATAGTTCTGAGCACTAATTTAAAATTTATTTTATCCTCGCCTTTCAGAACACGGAGGTTGAAATTTCGGTTACTACGGATAGGAGTAGAGTACCATCGGCTAATGCGGAACACATTCTCAGTACGTAGCAGCATCTTAGCCAGGCGCTTTCGTATATTCCACGAGCTCTCGGCCCTGTTTCTTCTAGAAGTATTTATTTTTAAGCCTTTCAATTTGTGTCTTGAAGAAAAAACCTTTTCTACCTTCTCCCACCCCCCCCCCCCCCCCACCCCTTTTTGTCACCTTCCTTATTGGGGCTTTCCTGATGTTACTTCTTATTTCCTTCTACTTTTGTTTACAACGCTTGATTTATCACGTATTAGTGCGAATATATTTCCTTTTATACAGGCTGTGAAAAGTCCTTTTTATCGTGATTGAAATTGTAGTTAATCGAATAAAGTTTAAGACTGTAAAGTTATGTTTTCGCAATCGTCGCTACGCAATCAATGAGTGGGAATACTCTTTAAGGCTGGCAAATATGGGGAATGGTTGAGCTCAAGTTCTACATCCCGGTCCTGCAAATAACGAGGGGGGGGAGGGGTTGGGGAGCAAGGCAAACAGTTAAATAATATTTTTTTATATCAAATGACAGGCGTTTTGTTGGTTATCAATAGCCCATTAGTTGACTTCAGGCTTCATAGAGGGGAGGAGGAACATCAAAGTGAAAAAAATTCAAGAAGGGGAGGGGAACAGAAGAGTGCATCAAAGACGAAGGTAGATAAGGTGCTACACAGAAGAGTGCATCAAAGACGAAGGTAGATAAGGTGGAAAGAAGGCGGGATGAATACTGGGGAAGTAGTCGAATATGACATATAGTGATGTCATGGTAGTTTGAAGTCAACTGCCAGGTAATAGACTTTTTTGCCGTATGAGTATACGTTGCCCAGGGTGCACCACGTGGAGGTAAGTCTATCACACACCCCCTTCCTAAACATAGGAGAATCTGCCATTGAGATTACTCCGTATAGTCAAGGCTTATTCGTGTAGCAGTCTGCTACGGTCTAAAAGCTTTCTACACTTTTTAGCAATAAGTAACTGAAGACATTATTATTATTATTACAAATGCACGCCACAAGTTCAATAATTTATTTAGAAATGTAACATAGCCTAGAATCGATAAATTAGCGCCCTGTTATTGCGCCATCATTCAATTTGCAACTACGCCAATTTGATAAGACATCTAATATTTTCCGAATTTGTAATAAATAATATATTTATTCTGCAACATAATTGCTTGCGCATAGTAAATTAGAGGGATTTAAAAATTGAGAGGTAAATGTATACTCTACTTAGGCTTAATGAGTAGTTGTATCTTTTAAAATAGTCTTTTGGATATCAATTCGTAAATGTATGCTTTTATTATGAACTATTCATGAAACGCCTTGTATTTAGTAAATGGCTATTGTTACTAATAGACTCATTTTGTAAAAGTAAACTATTACTAAAATTCTGAATGAGGTGGCATTTCGGATTAAACATGACCAATCTTACCTTAAAAATCGATTTGCTATTTCGTTGGTGAAAGTGGGCTTGCATCACATGCAGCAAAAAACTAATATGATTGGCTTGGTGCCATCTTTTCCAACTTCATAAAAATATATTACACTTTATGAGCTAAAAATTCCCCCAAGATAGATGCCTATCACCACCTTGAAGTAAAAAAGAAAACTGGCATCTATCAATACGTGAATCATAGCAGTATCATAACATCAGAAGAAGGAAATGAGATACTGATAGCTCTGGTGAAACGCCACGCAATTATAAAGACATTTAAATCGAATCTTTAAGAAAGTTGCCATAGTTAATTGAATTCACTATCCAAAACCACTTCTTGCGAAAAACCGACTTCCAGAAAGCAAAAAACAATTCTCCAAGACAAAGAGTTATTTAAGATAACTACTAGCTATTGATAATTGGCGTTTGTGGTAGAGATGATCAGCCCACATGGAAGCTAACCAGCACTTTGATTTCCCTTGTAATTGTACCAGGGACAAATATAAGCCATGCGAATCCGAATACCAGAACCGGATACACGATCTTAATTCCGGGTGGCCGAGATAAAAGACATCCAGTATGAATACAGAAAATTAAAGCGGTGTCGCATTTAAAAGTGGTAAACATGAAATATTAAGATTAACAACTTATTGAACATGCAACAAGTGTTGATTGTGTCCCCCCAGGAACTTCCACTCACACCTTTAACATGTCTCAACGCGTCTCTCTCATCTTGGCCACATTAAAGCGTGTTAAGTGAACGTTATTAATAATATTGATTTTATTTCGTGTTTAATTATGCTGGTAGTTTGTTTATAAATGCAATAAACGCTTTCGCGTCATAAGCTCAGGAGCCATTTTGCACTTGGGGTTTTCTTCAGAAAGGGTAACCAAGGTTTATTCAAGGGCTATTTGCGAGGTATCAGCTACGATGGCAAACTTCTTAGTGACAGAACACCAATTAACAACGTATTGGCAATCAGACTGCACTTTCAGGTCGATCACAACGAGAAAAAGGCAACCCTCTTCTCTAGGTTTAGAATTCTTCATATTGATTCTCATTTAGTTGGTGCAAAACGGTCAAATTGGGGGGGGGGGGAGGAGTTAAGATCCACGATCAACAAAATCCTTCTGGTTGTCTGATCTTCTTTCCCTTTGCTTGAGATCACAGTTCATTGACAAAACTGATTTACATTTCCTCGTGTTTAGAGGCTGTTCATGTTCAGCAGTTGTAAAAAAAATCATTGCCTTATCATGGAAAGCAACAAAATCTAACCCCTTTGTCGTTAATCTTAATTAAAAGGAAGTATTCTTACTTTACTTTCTAATAAATCAGTAACCAAGAGGGCACGATGAGCTGTGGATCCTTCGGTTCTAGAGAAATTGCTGGCAGCACTTGAAATATTTATTTATTTAAATCAAATGGCAGGCGTTCTGATAGTTATCATTAGCCCTTTAGTTGACTTCAGACTTCACAGAGGGGAAGGAACATCAAAGTGAAAAAAGACGAGAGGCGGGGATAGAAGAGTGATTCACAAATGTAAAAGAAACAAACACAAAGGTAGAAAAAAGGTGAGGTGAGTACTGTGGAAATAGTCGAATATGGCATAGAGTGGGGTGATGGTAGTTTGAAGTGAGAAGTCAACTGCCAGTTAAGAGACTTTTTGCCGTATGAATATACGTTGCCCAGGGTGCACCACGTGGAGGTAAGTCTATCGCACGCACCGCACTTGAAATACCTCCGTAGAAAAAAGTGAATTTTCATTTAAGTTATCGAACCGTATGTCCCTGCCTTTAAGTCTCCCGTTCCACTTTCTTATCTTTTAATTTGTTGATAGTCAATTTGAAATATCGAACCAATAGAAAATATTGTTAGAATCAATTTGCGACAGGCACATCGCAAAACTTATAGATGGGCTAGTCTATGGGTGTGAATACATGCCTCCTTATGAAGAATTCATTTATGGACAGTCATTGAATTGTTTTGATAAATGCGATTATTAGGTCGTTCATCGTGGCTATCCAAATTGGAACTTTTGTCTTGGACATGCTCTCTCCCCCCTTGACCATTGTCTCACTGATTTGTTCACCCCTTTTCACTACCAGGTGCATTTAAATCCCAGTCAGTAAATACATGATATTTAGATGGCATTTTACCCACCCATCCCTCTCCCCCCTCCCTTCACTTGTCACATTTCACAAATTCCACGTCAGTGGACTTGACCCCTATATCCAGGTGCAGAGCTAGAAAATCTGGTCTCCACTACCACCCTCTGCTCATAACAACCTGCGTGTCCAAATGAACACCTGCCAGGCCTCAATCTGTGAATAACTTACCAATCTGGCTGTGAAATAATTTTTGTTAAATAAAACTAACAAATTAAGGATCGCAATGTGACCTAATAAGTGTTTACTCTAAGGGCTGTTAAAAGTATGATACGGGAACCAATCATACCCCTAATTACTTACCTACGTAAGAGCAATGTTGAAGTCATCTAGAGTTTCTTTTGTCCTTTTACTTTGTGAAATTACTCCACAGGCTTCAAACCTCCAGATATGAGATGGACAGGGTGTTTAGAGAGTACTCTGCGTCATTCACTTGACAAAGTACTTCTCTTTAGGATTAAATATAAACGCAGCAGGACATGGACCGAAGGTGAAAGAAACACCACCAAGAAACATGAACTCCTGAGAAGTGGGAGGCCAAGTGAAATCGAACAGAAAGCAGTGCTGTGATGGGAAACGTATAATTTCGAAATGCCTTCTAGAAATTAAGTTCAATAACCTAGTGTGTTTGCCTTTCAACAAGATCTGCTTATGATTACTTCTACATTATGATAATGATTCCAGGCTTGATCGCTTATAGCAGGAATATGAAAGGTAAACTCTATTGACCTCTGCTGTGTTCCAATCATTTCTGTCCTCACCATTAGGAAGGAAGACGATTGGTTTGCGGCGTTTGACCTACAATCTAAATAACTAAACTGACTCATGATCTCCACATGTCAAACGCATGAATTCATATGGCAAGCAGTGCCAGAATGCTGGAACTTGAATAAGGGAACAGTAGAATAGGAATAGCGGATTATTCAAAAGGAGTAAACATACAGGCTGAATAAATAGATTTAAATTTCTATGCCGACTTCCAACTTCCTTTAAACCGTATTGTACTGAATTAGTATATCGTCGCTCAAAATGGCAATTCCGTCCCTTCAGCGTAACTCTTTTCCAACCCAAAGTGTATGCAAATAACATAAGGTTAAGTTGATTATCTCATTAACAAACCAAGACCAAGTAATTCGACATTGATGGCATCTTGGTGGCAGGTGCTCGCTACTTCCCCCCCCCCCTCCCTCCACCCTCATGAAGCATGCACGCATTTCTCTTTCACTTAGCTCGTTTTTTACTGGTGAATCACGATCCATAACGTTTCCAACTTCACTATCATTGGACATTACTAATCCCACTTCGATGTGCGTATGAATAGTTGGCGATAATTGGAACTGTATCAAATGCAGTGCCTTCAAGATGTACACGATTGTTCAATAAACTTCAACCAAAAAATTGGAAGGAAAACTATGGGAAATTTAGTTAC